CTTACTGTATGTTGTTAAGCTATAACATCTCTTTTCAGTCAACGGTTAGACTATAGTTCTCATACTAAGTGTGTAGAGAATATTTTAGACACTTCAAAAACTCAACCATATGTTCCTCTGTAGAAACTCAACCTAAACTGGTGATTCCTTGCAATATCTTGATGCTGGCAGCCAAGCAATCATGAAAATCAGAATCTAAATATGTAGGTCAAATTTTTTATCGTGGGATTAACAGAGTTGGATTTTCACTATAAGTCATAATTTCATGATCCTGTTTGAAATTCGTTATTTCTGCATATCCAAATTTTGTCAATCTATATATTGGCTCATTATGTGGATCTCATTTTTAGCTTGTTTTGTAATTAATATTGTTTCTATATCCGTTGTATCATTTTCTGGGTGCAGTCACCGCCAGAAAAAATGAAATTTAAGGAAGAGATGTGGATGATCGGTATCATGGTCTCAGTCACAGTAGTGAAGTTTGTTCTCATGGTCTACTGTCGCAGATTTAAAAATGAAATTGTACGGGCCTATGCACAAGACCATTTTTTCGATGTTATTACTAATTCAGTTGGTTTAGCAGCAGCAGTCTTAGCCGTCCGGTTTTTCTGGTGGATTGATCCTACTGGTGCTATTGTTGTAAGTCCTTTCATCATCATAACGAGTTTCACTCCCTCTGATATGATTTATTATGTTTATTCATTAACGTTGGTTTCGTTCTTGAACACATTGCAGATAGCACTATATACCATTAATACATGGGCAAAGACAGTTTTGGAGAATGTACATTCGCTAATCGGAAGAACAGCCCCGCCTGACTTCTTAGCTAAGTTAACTTATTTGATATGGAACCACCATGAAGAGATCAGGCACATTGACACAGTGAGAGCATACACATTTGGCTCTCATTACTTTGTGGAGGTTGACATTGTCTTGCCAGAAGACATGCTTCTGAACAAAGCACACAACATTGGTGAGACTCTCCAGGAGAAGCTCGAGCAACTCCCTGAAGTCGAACGGGCTTTTGTGCATATCGATTTTGAGTTCACTCACAGGCCAGAACACAAGAACAATGTATGATGAGGGTGGTAGTGGAGCTACAAGCAGGCTTTTCCAGAGCACACAGTTTTTAAATCTGCGAAATGTTTTATAACTTTATGGCATTACCTTTCTTATGGTTTTAGTTCCTCAACTTTTAGTCTTGGAACCAATTACATTATCTGACGAAGCAACCTCAACACTTTTGTTTTTCGTTGTGCTTGTGTATGTTAAAGTGATGAGCCACATACAATAGGGTTCTACTCAGTCCAATTATGCTAATCTTCCCAAATAATTTTTGCAACCAATCATAAAAAATATCGGACCTAATTAAAATGTCTAAACAAACAGCTGCATGCGCAGGAAGAGGGAAACTTGATTCACTTATCTGCACACGGAAGTCATTCAACCTCTCCATTGTTTGTCAAGCAACTCATCTCCTACTATACACAAGGCAACAACTCACAACACTGTCATGCCTAAGAGGTTGCTAGGAACATGAGAACTAAAAACAAGGGCCAATGTGTCAAGTAACTAAAATATGCTATATTTTCATTCTCTTAATTCAACCATCCGAAAAGAAAAAGAAAATCGCCCACGATGGTTGGGTTAATTCTTCAAGACAATTGACTTATACAAACAAGAATGTTCAAGATAAATGCTCTAAACCAATTGAGCTAGTTGCAAAAACAACGATTTTGTGGAGATAATATCAATAAGGTCAGTAATCCCTACTTAAATGACAAATATGAAGCTGGATTAATGTGGGTTGCAGTAATTTACTTAAAACAAGAATTAGGCCTCTAATTTCTAAAATGGGCTACAAGTTCCTTAACCCAATTCCAAATGGGACCGACCTCCAGCCCAACCCATCCCAACCAAGGACATCATGGTAATTTAACACTACTAGGGTTTTGATGGTTTCTTCTCCCTACTATTTAAGCACACCTCGAGACCTCGCTTCAAATCAACCAAGTTTTCTCTGTTAGGCATGGGTCTCAGCCTCTCCGTCTTTCAGCCCCCCTCGGCTACCCTTGCAATTGTTATGTGTGTTTGTTCTGTTTCATAAAATTTGGCCTGTGATGTTTTGATATTGTCCGTACCATCTGAGATAATCTTTGATGTTTCTATCACTAGCTTCTGAGGCCTCTTCTTGAAATTTTCTGTTTTCCTCTGTTTTTCTTTTCTTTTAATTTCTGGTGTGTAGGAGAGGCAGTGATGACTAAATCTGTATACCATCAAACTATGAAAGCTCTCTTTTTGGGGCTTGTTGATGCCAACTTAACTTTACATTCTGAGCCTTCTTATTTTCATTGATGAAAATTTTGTGTTGATTTTGGGTAAAGTTGTTATCTTTTTTAGATGGGTGTTCTTGTTGAAGGGTTTAGATGAATGAACAAGCGATGGATTTGTGTTGGGTTTGTTGGATTTGCTATGAAAAAGGCAACAAATTAGAGTCTCTGATTCGCTTATTTTCATAGCGTTATTAGTGCTGTACGTTGCCAACAGTGATTCTGGGAACTGAGATTCTGGCATTTGCCTTTCTTTTCTTAAGGTTTATGCATTCAGATGTTCCTACATTCAGAGTTATAGATCCAACTTCCAATTTTCAATTCACTGCTTAACGTGTTCGACAAATCGGCGCCTAGCCGCTAGTCGGCCGCCTAGGCGGCGCTAGGCGGGAGGTCATATAAGGCAACAAATTAGAGTCTCTGATGCTCTTATTGCTATAGGGTTTTCAGTGCTGTACGTTGCCGAGAGAGATTCTTGGGAGTTGAGATTCTGACATTTGCCTTTTTTCTCTATAAGGTTTATGCATTCAGATGTTCCCACATTCAAGTATTTTAGTTCAAACTATCAGTCCGCTGTATTGTGCAAGTTTTAGTGTCAATGGTGACAGTAGTGATTGTTGGGATATTTATGACCATTTGATTTCCAATATCAGGTTCTAAGTTACTTGGATAACAAATTGCATAAGAAAACTAGTATTTCATATCCATTGGCATCCAAACCTGGACAGGGCATAAAGAAATGCGGAGACAGTGATCTATGATCAGGCTGGAGAAACTGGTGAGCACCCTTGCATGTCAGGATCTAGAAATCCCAGAGAACAATCACTCTTCTGAAATTTGCGGGTAATTGGTTGAAGTTTACAGAACAACTGTTCCTAAATAATGAAATTGATTGTTTCTAGTATTTGATGATAAGAGAAACTCAGAAATAAATTACAATTAACCAGAAAAAAAAACTAATCGATTAAAATATTACAATAAAGATTTTTCTTGAACTTTTCCCAACGCTAACACACAGCGAATGTTAGAAGTGAGAGAGTGTAAGGTGCCAGCCTATTGAGAAACTGATTTTTTATTTTTTTTATTTTGTATACAAGCGATTAAGAAAGAGGGTTTATATAATATAAATATTGATTAAGAAAGAGGGTTTATATAATATAAATATTAATTGGGTGTCTGGAGGTTTCGAACCTCTCTTATACGAGTAGAGATGGAATAGCTCAACAACTACGCTATTCCCACTGGCAATGAGAAATTGGATTAGAAGGAACAAAGCGGGTATATCCTAAAAGGAATGTGCTTTTTGAATGGAAGATTCTTGGCAAGAGGTTTTAACCTTGAGAAATGCTAGCAACCTTCTCTCTAACCTTCTCTTTTGGACCTTCTCCTTTCTTTGCTTGACATGTGTCATGCTCCTTACACTTAAAACAATATCATTAATATATTATTCAAGCTAACTTTTGCTTTCCAAGTTTACCCTTATTAAATGTATTCAATTTATCCAAAAACATTTCACAACTTTCTTACCATCTTATTAATTTTTTTCTAACGTCAATTATTTTTTTTAAAGAACATATATGCTTTTTTTTTTCAAAAAAGAGGAAATGTCCGTTTTTTTTAAAACACAAAGGACTTTTTTTTTTTTTTTCTATCTAAACCCTTTGTTTGTTTTTTTAAAATTTATTTTTTAAAAAAAGGACATTTCCTCTTAAAAGCAAATATGTTCTTTAAAAAAAAATTAATAAGATGGTAAGAAAGTTGTGAAATATTTTTGGATAAATTGAATACATTTAATAAGGGTAAACTTGGAAAACAAAAGTTAATTTGAATAATATATTAATGACATTGTTTTAAGTGTAAGGAGAATGACACATGTCAAGCAAAGAAAGGAGAAGGTCCAAAGGAGAAGGTTAGAGAGAAGGTTGCTAGCATTCCCCAGGTTAGAGAGAAGGTTGTTAGCATTCCCCTTTAACCTTTTGCATTGTTTTGTCGGTCTTAGAAAAAAGCAGCCTTATCTAAATGGTTCTAACCCTTCCATTCCGTGTTCATTCGCAATCAAACTAAGGCAGACAATTAGGCATGAGCCCACTCTGATAGACATCCGTTTAATAATACACTTCTAACTCAACTTAGATTTTTGGTCTTGGGATAAGATTTCATTATCTTCTCTGATTTCCATGATCCTAGTATCCAACCAGAAATTACATTTAGAGAGCGAGAGAGAGCTTTTGATTTTGAAGGAAGATCTCTTCTAGTTTACTTACTAAACTAAAGGGTGTAGTGACCAAATTTACTTTCATTTTTATTTTTATTTTTCAAACAAAACGACGCATTTTGGTCACGACTTTATACTAATATGAGTTTGAATTGAATATTCAAGAATGAAACGTGCAACAATCTCCTTGTGGAAAATACTCATTTCTTCTAACTTAAAATATTTATCAAAAGGGATCAGTTAGAGAAGTTTAGAGTTCGGGGTTTCATTTTTCCATGTTGAATGAATAAGGATACAATTGAAAGTTGAAAAGAAAAAAGAGGTTGAAAATCAAGTTTTTAGATGCCAACAGAGCACTTGTAGTTGTAGGAGAACAAAGGGGCTCCATAGCAAGAAGATATTTTTCCATGTCTTTGATGTCAAAGAAATACACCTTTGGGTTTTTCACCTGGTCCACTTTCAAGCACTTTCCAATCAGAACAAAAGACATATTCATGGCCATGTTCAAAACCACTCATATATCAACGCCAAAAATCAAATGCTAATTCTGTTCCAACCAGCAATACACACAACACACAAAACACCAAGCACAATACGCAGAACACAAAACCATCCTTCTTTTTCTATCTCTAGAGGCTTTCACATGAGAAGCTGAAACTGAGACTCCAAATTGAAGGATAACAAAGAAGGCAATGGCTTTTCTTCTACCAAATTTCTCTCCCTCTCTACTCCTCCAAACCAAATCAAAAGAAAAACCCATGAACCAGACACTTTCTCTTACAAAACCCAGCTTTTGTTTCTCTCATCTCTCTCCTCTGGCCAGCCTGCAGACACCCACTTTGTTGGAAGGGGCACAGCTTAACACCTCCAGGGTTGCGCAGGATAAGCAGCAAAGAGACGACTTTTATGTCAATCTTGGCGTTGCTGTACGCACTCTTCGTGAAGACATCCCTTTAATTTTCGCCGAAGACCTTAATTATGACATTTATAGGTAATTTTCTCATTTGGGTATCTTGAATTTTCTTTGATAGTGCTTGATTTATCAGAAAGTTTAAAACTTCATTAAGAAATTTGATATTTTTGGGAAATACATGGTACTCAAAAGCTATACCAATTTAACACGTTTTCCCAAAAAGAAAAATTGCAAATTGATTGTAATCTTCTATGAAATTTGATGAGTTTCCTGTAATTGTTAAACCCTTTATTGAAAATGTAGAGTTACATTTGATAGGATTCATTTGTGAAATTTGGTGATTTTCAGGGATGATATAACATTTACGGATCCCTTGAACACATTCACTGGCATTGAGAATTACAAATTGATCTTCTGGGCATTGAGATTTCATGGCAAGATTCTGTTCCGTGACATTTCACTTGAGGTTTATAGGATTTGGCAGCCTTCAGAGAATGTGATATTGATAAGGTGGAACATGAAGGGTGTTCCTCGGGTTCCATGGGAAGCACAGGGTCAGTTTCAGGGCACCTCGCGATATAAACTAGATCGAAAAGGCAAAATATATGAACACAAAGTCGATAACTTGGCATTTAATTTCCCGCAGAAGCTCAAACCAGCTGCTTCAGTGTTAGATTTAGTGGCAGCATGCCCTCCTAGTCCTAACCTGACGTTTTTGTGGGGTCCTGCGGATGTGTACTCGTCTTCATGGGTGGAGTTTTATCGAGCAGTGAGGGGGACTTTGCATCGAGATGGTTTCTTGCTTCCACAAGATGGTTTGGTTAGCTAATGAGCTACTTCAGATATGAATCTATACAGTGGAATATGTAACGTATATGTACTGTGCATTAAATTTGTATTATATATTGGTAGATAGCAGAAAATGGTTTTTGTTGAAAAACAAGGTTGTATATACATAGGGAAATCCTGAAGAGTTCAATTTACTTCTTGTGGTGGTGGAGGCAAAGAAGCTAGGGTACATTTTGTGAGCTTATACAGGTCAGGATAATATATACAAAATCTTGTTTCATTTAATAAATTATCTTCTTAATTTATAATGCCGCATTACAGGTTGAATTTGCTTAGAGGTTGCCTTCTTCTACTGTTGATAGATACTGTATTACATGATTCCTCATCTATCTCGTTTGGTCCGGTTGCTATTACCATTCGTTTCTTGTCACTACTAATCTCAAACATTTGGTTTGTTCTAAACCTACATGTTATGTCACGGACCTTGTTCCAGCCCTACATGATTCCTCATTTGCTCATAGTTATGTTTCTCCAAAAAAGTTCCCTTCTGTTCTTCTATGCAAGTTATGGTCTCTAATTTCCTGTATCTCTTCCAGATTTGCTTTTCATAGTCCAAAGCCTCGATGCCATCTTTACTTAATCACCTACCCCTTCTTTACTTCATCATGCCTACCTAGCATTTGGACTCTTTTTTGCCTGATGTCTTTGTTACTTGTTGGTTGAACCTCTATACGTTTGCCGTGTGCCCTTCTTGGCAGAACAATACTTAACCAAGTGTTTTCTGAGTGGTTAATACTTCTAAAAGGCATCTGGGCCAACAATAGTGATTTTTCATATAAAGATGGTCTTTGACTGGTGGTGGTCTTGTGGGTAGTAACATATGATTTGTAGAGCCACTTTCAATGGCCATGTCTATAACCTCCATTAAGCTTCATTTCCAATGGCAGCGACTCATTTCTTGACAAACTGCTGTGTAACTAGGTTGCATATTGGACAAGTCAATTCTTTGCATTTCAGAGCAGAGAAACCTTGTTATGAGTCAGAAATCAGTTCTGTTATGTCCAGGTTTTCCCCCGGAGAAGATCTATGTGTTAGTTTGATTTTTCTTTTGGTTACAAGGGGATTTGAATCTACGATCTACCCTTAACCCTACCCATGCCACTTGAGGCTTAGGGTTCACGGGCAAATTGTTTGCTTCGTAAGCAAGCATGTCCTCGAAATCAGACTTTGTAAAGGGTTCATAAGACGTAGTTTAGATTTATCAAAAGATAAAGGGGAAAAATGAACGATCAAGGCAATATGCACCACTGTTAACAGGAAGCTAGAAATTCATATAGCAATAGCAATAGTTGTTACAACAACAAAATGTGTTTCAGTTCCAAGATCATATTTTCTTAACAACAATAGTTGTTACGCTTATATGAGCCCAGAACATAAAAGCATGCAACGCAACTTACAGATGTGAACTGTGGAATGAACAGATACGAACACAAAGTCGATAACTTGGCATTTAATTAATTTCCCACAGAAGCTCAAACCAGGGTAACCAAAAGCAAGGGCAATACATGAATATGATGCCGGCGATGAGGATGGATGAAGGGAGAGCAAACTGGAATGATAATGATATGAATAACAACAACATGCCAGTGCCATCACAGCAAGAGTAACCAATGGATCCTTATACTTACTTTCTTTTTTAGGTAGCCTAGAATTCTCATAGCTTATGCTAACAAGATCTAATCCCGTGATTTTTGATTCGAACCTCCAATTCTAAGACTTTTTTATTTCCTTTTTTTTTTTTGGGTCGAATTAGTGGTACTGCCAAATTTCGTGGAATAATAAAAGTCCTTTATATAATTTACCTTTTTTCCTCAAAAAAACAAAACCAAAAAAAAAAAAAAAAATCAATGGAGCGATTCAGACTCCCGCTGCAATTTGCAACGCCCGCCCAAGTGCTTTTGTTTCTTCTTATAGCAGTTGTTCTGGTCAGCCAGTGCTGAGCCGCTGCTTATCTTCTATAGGAATATGGTAAAAGTGCAGTATAATGCCATTAATAACAGTGTCTGTTGTAGAGTGAGGGGGACTTTGCATCGAGATAGTTGCTTCCACAAGATGGTTTGGTTATAGCTAATGAGCTACTTCAGATATGAATCTATACAGTAGAATTTGTTACGTATACGGTATATGTACTGTGCATTACATTTTGTATTATTATTATATATTGGTAGATAGCAGATAATGGTTTTTGTTGAAGAACAAGGTGGTGGGATCCTTAAATCCTTCTGCTACAAGGTTTTCTAGCATTAAATCCTTAAATCCTTATATACATAGGGAATAATGTTCCATGCTAAAACGGGTAAAATCAACGTTCATAATTTAGAAAAGGAAAACTAATTTCCTAATTGAAACCTAAAACTTATTATAACTAGGAACCCTCTGAGAATATTATATATATGTTACGCTCTACTATCATATATAACTATTACTATTGTGATTCTTCTGTTCTAGTGCCCGTTAGCTTCCTTTTGTTTCTTCTTCATTGTTTCGTGACCAATATGAAGAACATACTTGTTTTGATTTTGATATTCTGGATTGGTTTTGGACATTGCCAAAGAACATTCGATGTTCTCAAGTACGGTGCTGCTGGAGACGGAAAAACTGACGATTCCAAGGTAATTTACTTTTTTTTAATGCAGGTGTCAAGGTATTTCGAATAATGTTCGTTTGTTAAATAGCTTGACGTGTTAATTTTGTCAACCTTTGAATTTAAACCGCATATTCACACAAGATACATGTTCATGTTATTAATGGTTCTGGATGGATAATTCGACAATATTAACATGCCATCATGATATCCAATAAAAGAAGAGAATGTTTTTATTTTTCTTGATTTGTTTTCCATTGTCTTAAAGTTAAAAGGAGCAATCACTTATGGGTTATTCACTTTGCAAATACAGGCTTTTCTAAAAGCATGGGGAGAGTTGTGTGGAGCAGCAGATGAACCTAATGGCGTGCCAACACTCGTTATACCAGAGATGAAAGCATTCTTATTGCAGCCCATCAAGTTTCAAGGTCCTTGCAACTCAATTAGTGTTCATGTTCAGGTAACTAAACCATCAAACTATTATTCTTATCGTATTTCGGTTAGCTATAAAAAAGTAAACGAATTTTGGGGTCGTTTCAAATTAGTACTCAATTTTAACAATTTTGTATGTAAATACCTAAATTCATGAAAAACTTATAAATTAATCACTCCATTAATTATACCGTTGATTGGTCTGTTAAATGATAATGTGGCAAACATAGGCTCCCATCTTTCTGGCTGATACAGACTAAAAAATTAATAAAAAAGTCTTTATCTTTTAAAGATAATTAAAAGTACAATTTAACGTAAATTTAAAATCTAACAAGTAAAATAATAAAATAACACAAAATTAAAAAAGAAAGTAAAAAACACAACCCCGCCCCACTCTCCCCTCACCCCAGCCGTAGGATTATCAATTCAATGTCATCAAATATCCGATTATCACCCAAAAATCTTCCCCCTCCCACAAAAACCAAAAAACACTGTCGCCGCCGCAAATGGAAAAACAACCACTCGTACCCGAATCCGAACCGGAATCCCAATCTCAATCGTCGTCGTCGTCGTCGTCGTCGCCACTGCCCATCGGAGATCCTCAAGTTCGCATCGCCACTGCCCTCGGAGGAGAGGAAGAGACGGGAAGAGAGAGAAAAAGACGGGGGGAGAGAGAGAGTGGATTCCGGCGGAGGGGGGAGGTTTGGGATGGGGAGTGGGTGAGGTTGCGATGGAGGTGCTGGGTTTTTTTGGTTATTTTATTATTTTTTGGTTTTGTTTTTAAAATTTTAATTATTTTTAAAAATAATTTTAAGTCCACCTGGAGTCCACTTCAGCAAAAAGAAGCCACCTGGAGTCCACGTTTGAGTAGTTAACCCTTATTCTTATCTCATTTCAACTAAATGATTATTCTTACTTAATTAAAAATTAAAAATGAATTAATTTTTTCCTTTCCGTGTGGTGAGCAGATCATGGGCAAACTGGTGGCACCTAAAATGCAGGATGGCTGGACCGAATGTGAATCAAATTCAGATTGGCTCCAATTTAAGGACGTGGGCAATCTCGTAGTCGATGGTTCAGGAGAAATCGACGGCCAGGGTTCATCTTGGTGGACCACTCCCAACCAATACGACAGATTATCACGCAAACTCATGATGAATAAGCAGAATTGCCAAGCACCAGATGTATGGATTATTTTTCTTTTTCAAATTAATTTAATTAAAACTAATTTTTATTTTTATTTTTTTCTACTGAAGTTGGGTTTACTAATTTGAATGTTACTGCAGGCTCTGCACTTCCAGGGATGCGATAATCTTAAACTAAGTGGACTTACTCATCTAAACAGCGCAAGAGCCCACATTGCCATAAGCGGGTGCAAATATGTGTACGTGTCTCATCTCACCATAACCGCACCTGAAGACAGTCCAAACACTGATGGCATTGACATCTCAAACTCACACAATGTCTTCATTCAACACTGTGCTATCGGAACCGGCGATGACTGCATAGCCATCAACGGTGGCTGCTCCGATCTCAACATCGCCAACATTGCGTGCGGGCCGGGTCATGGTATTAGGTACGTAGTCCTTAAGATGAATCCTTATTCAAAACAGTTCGCTTATGATGTCTTGTTAACTTAAAATTCTCTTTTGCCAACAGTGTGGGAAGCTTGGGAGCGCATGGGGCTCTTGAGAAAGTGCAAAATGTGTACGTGAGAGATAGTAGTTTCAGTGGGACTACAAATGGAGCTAGGATCAAGACATGGCAGGGCGGATCGGGGTACGCTAAGAACATAACCTTTGAGAAGATCACACTCGATGCAGCTAAAAATCCCATCATCATTGACCAGTTTTATTGTAATCAGGATCACGACTGTAAAAGTCAGGCCTCGGCTCTGTTGGTGGAAGATGTGAAGTACATTGATTTTGAAGGAACATCTGCGAATGAGGAGGCGATCAAATTAGATTGTGACCAGAATTCAGGTTGCCGCAACATTATAATGGACCGCATCAAAATCACCTCGGCGGTTCCTGATAAGAAGATTTATGCTTCTTGCAACAATGCTATTGGAACTTCCATTGGCACCATTGTGCCCAATGTGCCTTGCCTCAAGTCGGGGACGGAACCAACTACTACTCCGCCGGCTATGCCTTTGCCAACTGTGCCTCTGCCCGCTACGCCTCCGCCATCTCCACCTTTGCTCGTTATGCCTCCACCATCTCCGCCTG